TCACTCGAGCCCACATCTGCTGACCGATCAGGTTCAAGTCTCGGAGTGACAACACATATACATATAATACATACATACATACATACATAAATATATATGTGTGTGTGTGTGTGTGGATCTTTGGTTATTCGGGTTTTCTCCTGCGTAAAATTGGAAGTGTCTTGGCGACGTTTGACAAAATCTCATTCATCATCTTCAGGCTTGTGTCTTCGGCTTTGTGCTTCTTGGAGATTCTTCTTGAAGAAGCACAAAGCCGAAGACACAAGCCTGAAGATGACGAATGAGATTTCGTCGAAACGTCACCAAGACACTTCCAATTTTACGCGGGAGAAAACCCGAATAACCAAAGATCCACATACAAATACCCGCAAAAACCTCAGAATGAATATATATATATATGTGTAGATTTTCACGGGTACAGGTATGTAGGTCTAGGTGTATTCGGGTCTTTTCCCGTGTAAGATTAAGAGTATCTTTGCAACGTTTCGGCGAGGTCCCACTCGCCATCCTCAGGCTGGTGCTTTCGGCTTCGTGCCAGTGCAAGCAGATGGCGAGTGGGACCTCGCTGAAACATCGCCAAGATACTCTTAATCTTACATGGGAAAAGACCCGAACACACTAGACATGTATGTATGTATGTATGTATGTATGTATGTATGTATGTATGTATGTTTTCTGAGGTTTTCGCGGGTATTTGTATGTGGATCTTTGGTTATTCGGGTTTTCTCCCACGTAAAATTGGAAGTATTCTGGCGACGTTTCGACGAAATGTCATTTGTCATCTTCAGGCTTGTGTCTTCGGCTTTGTGCTTCTCGGAGTAATGTGAGCTTGCAGCTGCTTCTTCCTTTTAACTGCTAGTGGGGGTGTGACTTGATTGGGTGGGGGCTTGGCTGTGTTCTGATTGGGTGTGTGTGTGTTCTCATTGGTTGGGGGTTTGGCTGTGTTCTGATTGGTTGGGGGGTTGGCTGTGTTCTGATTGGCTGGGGGTGTGTTCTGTTCAGGTGGGGGCTTGGTTGTGCTCAGGTTAATCTTAGCTGCTGGGGGATTTGAGCTGGTGAGCTGTGATCCTGTTGTTTGGCTTCGTGGTCGTGCCACATCTTCATGGTGGGCGTCCGTTCGCTTCATGTATGGGTCGGAGGGGTTTGAAGCGGGTAGTGATGTAGCTGCGGTACGCCTTCTGATCCGTGGTCGTGTCTCATCATCTGTGTGGGTGTGAGTCTGTTTTCTGTGTGGAAGTGTGGTGGTAGCATCTTGTGTGGCCCTCGGTGTGGGTCTGGTGTCATTCTTCATGTTAGGTACTTGTTTGTTAATGAGGGCAGGTTTCCAAATGGCTTGTAGGCGGGAGGTATCATCTCGTTTATTCATGCTGTGTGGGCATTTTTCTATCTCTATGGCTTCTCTGATTATTCTGTTGTTGAAGTGTTCAGTTTTGGCGATAGCTCTGGTATTTTTAAAGTCAATCTCATGTCCTGTGGCTTTGAGGTGTTGGACCAGGGAAGAGGTCGGTTTTTCTTTTTTTGATTGAGTTCTTGTGTTCTTCAATGCGTGCACTTATTCTTCTGCTGGTAAGATTATTATACTGCACACTCTCACTAACGGACTAACAGCCAATGGATTCCAAAGAAAGAAGATTACCCACCTAATCCAAAAAGAAACCCCAACCAAAATCCAAGACAGAGGACAAGAGAACGGCAAAACCCTCCTCCCATATATAAAAGGCACAACAGACAAAATCAGCAAGATCCTTCAAAAACACAACATTAAGACAGCATTCTGCACAAACAGAAAAATATCCACCATCCTAAGAAACCCTAAAGACAGAATCGAGTTAGAAAACCAAGGAGTACACAAAATCCCATGCACCACCTGACCACCACATACATCGGACAAACCAACAGAAGAATAAGTGCACGCATTGTGCAGAATGTGTAAAATACAGTGACATGGGCATTTAGGAAACATTTAGGTGTTTCAGGTTGCACAATACTGCTGCAGTGTAAATGCACTGGCTTTCAAGAAGTTTCAAGATACAATTCAAAAACTAGCCCCGTTTCGTCACTTCCCTTTTCTCCAAAAATACTGAAAAACAGGGCTAGTTTTTGGCCTGCATAAGCCTTCCTCAAGCCTCTAGGAGGCCGAAAAAGGCCTCAAACCAGCCAAAAATCAGCTGTGAGGTGCAGTGCAGGTAAGGGGGTGGTGGGATTGCATGCGCAGGGGGCATGGGGTGTGTGTGCATTGTCTTCTGGGTGCTGGCAAAGAATTTTTGGCACAGGAGCCCAAAAAGGTTAGCCACCACTAGCCTAGAGCCACTGTTGTGAGATAGTTAGCTATATAAAATCTGTTTAAATAATAAATTTCAGATACATTGAGAATTCTTGTATTAGGAATATTACAATAAGTGGTTTGAATCTGATTTTACAAATGCTACATTTTTAGGTCAGTCTAAAAATGACTATTTAAACTGGTTGAATTTTCTATAAGTCTGCCATTTTGTCATCATCTGAATAAAATCTGGCTCCATGCTCATTAGCCATGTATGCACACATTTTGAAATAAACAATTTTATCTCTCTGAAATTACATTTACATAATAATTACTAATTTTTAAAGATACTTTATTTTCTCCTAGGAATCCAGAGATGTGGAGGGCTGTGATTGGTTTGCATCATCTTTTCAGACATAAAACATACACTATAAAAAGACGCGTAAAAGCCATTGATATCCATTTTTTCTATAACTCAGCAAGATATGAAGAAGATATTGCTATGTTTCATCTAAGCAAATCTATCACATTTAATAACTATGCTCAGCCCGCCTGCTTGCCTAATGTTACTCTTGCCTTGACTTCTGATATGAAATGTTTTATAAGTGGGTGGGGAATGCAAAAAGAAAAAGGTAAGTGTTTTACTTTTGCTTTAAAGTAACCTGTTAAAAGTGAAAATGAGTTTAGTGATCTCAGAATGTTTATTTGTACTTTTTCTAGAGTCTCAACATCTTTTTTATAATGTGGTGAACAAAACTGGATGCAATACTCTAGGTGTGGTCTTACTAAGGCTTCGTAGAGTGGTATTAGTACCTCCCTTGATCTCGATTGTATCCCTCTGTTAATGCAATTTAGGATTGCATTAGCTTTTTTGGCTGCTGCTGCACACTGCTGGCTCATATTTAGCTGGTTGTCCACTAAGACTCCAAGATCCCTCTCACAGTTACTACTATTGAGCCTGGTTTTACCCAGTCTGTATGTGTACTTTTGGGTTTTCTTGCCTAAGTGTAGGACTTTACTTTTCTCATGTTTTTATTTTCTTTAATAATAAATATATGGATACAGAGTGTTGGTAAAGAACCAACGATGATAATAATCAATGGTTCCCTATCACAATAACATACAGTACTAAAGAGGATAATATAAGGTTGTCTCTCTCCTCTCCCATAGTTTTACTGACACTGGAGTCACTGGCACTGAAAATATGTTAAGAAAATAAAATTTGAGATGTTAAAATACCAAGATTTTATTGTATTCTAAACATAAATTGAAGTTAAACGTTGATGATATTGTACTCAGAGTTACCTAGTAAAGGGACTCTTATTAAAACGGACTTGTTCTGTCTTTTAATTGCTGATAGAATATAAAGACAGACAGACAAACTCTACAAAGGCTTCCATACAAAGTTTCTTTATTGGACCACAAGGTATTCCCAAGCTGTAACTCACGGTTATGTCGAGATTCATCTAATGTCCAATTCTTTGCACAACTGACTTCATAGTGTAAAGTTATAGTGATATTTCATCCCATAACGATGGAGCAGAGAGGGTGAAACACCAGCACGATGCTGGGGTCCGAGCAAGAGTAAAGGAAACTCCCCGAACCAAGCAAGGGTCAATTCAGTGACCAATCAGGATTACAGATGTGACCACATGACATGAACTGCATTTCCCATGATACATTAACTACATTTACCATGAGGCATTCCTTTAAGGGGACAGCTCCCAATTCCTATTTAACTATCCCAATTCCCAATTAATTATATACTGTCTGGACAGCACAGGACTATATACAGCAATATGATTTTTTTTAGATTATCGGATCAGTTAAGAGAAAATTCAGATTCTGATATGTAACTTGAAGAAGAAAAAAAACATGTCCATCTAATTATGTGCTATACTACCTCAAAAATTGTTAAATAGGAATTTAGTTGTAGTAATAAGATCTGTTCTGGAAATATGTAACAATAGATGTTTCAAGATGGAGAATATTGTTCTTGTTAGAATTGTAGCTATTAAAATTAATATTTTACTGACACTTCTGTTATCAATGATTCCAGTAAATTTTTTTTTAAAGGTATCAATTATAAATGTGGGCATTGGTCACAAAAATACTTCATCAGCACTATGAACAATTGCTATCCAAGTCAGTTGCTAAATGAGGACTACCTGTAGTAATAGATATGCAATGGACATTTCATTGGATGAATACATTTATATCAAATATACTGAAGGAAAACTGGTATTTTTTATTATTTATTTATTGGATTTATATTACCGCCTATTCGCCCATGGCAACTCATATTACCCCAGACCTGTTTGCTAACTAAGCCTAATATTCTTATAACATCTATTGAACTGGCTTTGCATGTGAGGGTACTTTACATCCCTTATTGAAAAGGATGCCTGATTCCCTCCATGGAATAATGGCTAAATTGATATCAGCAAGCCATGAATATCTGTATGTTTACATGTTTGTGAATCTATAGAGCTTGCAAAGACCCACCAGCAGGTAAGCAGTACTTGTACTTTCTGGTTAAAAAACAAAAACAAAAGTTCAGGTAACTGTTAGCCAGACAGTGCTTTCTTGCCAACCATTAACAGCGCCTCATCCCATCCATCAGTCTATGCCTAAACATATGTTTATTCTCTTTTCTCACAAAAGGAATAATAAATATATACATACATATATTGCTTTCAAAATTCATAATACTAACTAGTGTGCTCTTCGCTTGGATTACTCAATCATGACAATATTTTTCTCTAATGAATTATCAGAAACTGGAAAGAACAAGCCAAAATTTTTTTCCAATAATAAGCACAAGGCAGTAATTGTTTCTGAAGTGGCAGTTTTGAAACCATTTTTTCCTCACCCGCAGATACAGTGCTACCAACACAAAAATATGTCAGAATTGCTCACCATTGCAAGTTCTTACTTGCATAATAGAATCAACAGATTCTATAAAGCTATGAATTTGTGTAACTGTCAAATTTGCACATTTTTGTAAGTTTCTAAATAACAAATGGTTCCTCAGTTGTTTGCTTTAGTTGTAACCCTATATATTATTATTAGATCTTGCATATGATCAACTTTCTGTGTATGTGTATGTATGAAAATTCCTGTGTTACGGATTATTGTTCAACATGGATTTCTGAATTAAAAGCTACGCATTAGAAGATATAATGAGGCATATTCAAGGATAAATGATATTCTCCCAATGTTGCAGTTTTAATCTGCAGATAATAGCTGGCAAATAGAATTTGGCACATCTCTAAACATAAAAATTGTGGCAATATTAATATAGGTCCTCCCAATTGCATAGGATAATTGGACTGGCATGTTAATGTTAGATCAAGAACTGCCAATTCAGCATTTTTATAAAGTTCTTGTTGCACATTAGAAATAAATAAACAAAAAGCTATTATTTTCCTTACAGGCAAAGGCAGCCTCACATTGCAAGAAGCTCAGCTAAAAAATTTTTCACTAGATACTTGCAATCAATATGACTGGCATGCAGGAACAATACCAGATACTGCTTTCTGTGCTGGATCTGAAACTGGAGATGTTGATACCTGTCAGGTAAATGGACATAGCTCTATTTCAAATCACATTCTCCCTCGAGCCGCTCGGAGCATCCAGAGACTGGGATGTGCTTCTGAGTCCTCTTCTTGCAGGCTGAGCTTTAGATGAGGAAACGCTCCGCCCCTCACGTGGTATTGCGCAGCGTCTCCCCAGTCTTTTGCTCAGCCTCGAAGAGTCAGGCTGTGTTTTCAGAGAGCTCCTTGGCTGATCGTACATTTCTTGCCTATTTCTTGCCTATTCCAACTTCGTCTTCATAAGGTTTGCCTTTCCTTCCTCCTCCTGCGCAAAGGGTCTGGACTTAAGGGAAAAATTTCCCCGTCCCTGGGGCGAAGCTGTGGGCTCGCAGCGCGATAGCGCGACCCCCCCCCACCCTTATCAGATCGCGTCGCTGCCTCCGCGTTGCCTTTTGGCACGCATTTCTTTTATTGCTGGATTCCCCCCCACCCTAAACGCCGATCGGGAGGGTCATCGCCCCTAGGGCCCTAGGAGCTGAGCTGACCAGCAAGCCCTCCTTTTCCGTCCCGAAGGCGTCCCGACGGTTCAGCTTGCGGACGCCATTTTGGCTCCGCATCGTGGTCGGGCGCCATTTTCAAATACTTAGCTGCGGTGAATTGGAGCTCCAGGCCTTGGGTTAAAGCTTAGCTGCCCATCTCTTCCACCTGGCCCGCTCCTTTATTACTTGTTGGCCTCCCGCAGCCCGTTTCGGGGCGAAGTTGCAGCCCCCCCCCTCCGGTTTTCTTTTTCTTGTCTGGAGGCCTGCTGCCAGAGGCCCTCTCTTCAACTCTAGGCCTCAGGCGTTTATTTGACTGATTGGCCTGTACTGAGATACAGTTCTCCCTGTTACGGTTACTGTTTCTATAGATTTCAAAAAAAAAAAAAAACACCAAGAGTTCAATTCCTGACAGAGGGTTTTAATCCCATTGAAAAATCTGTGGCTACAATGCATATTATCCTTGATTTGCAGCAGCTTGTTTAGTGACTGTTCAAAGTTACAATGACATTGAAAAAAAAAAAAAATGATATTTTTAAAACCAGGGGCTGTTTAGCTCCTGAAGCTAATGTATTGCATATTGTCACCTAATGTGAAATACAAATACAAAAAAAAAAAATTCTTTTTGTACATCAATATTTCTCATAGATATATAGAGGTATACGTAGAACCTGTATATTCACCTGGTATAAAACATAAAAATAAATAAAGGGAGAAGAAAAATTACAAATTAGAGTATATATATTTCTGTTATCTCCGTACATAACAAATTCCAAAAGGGGGAGCGGGCCAGCTTCATCGTCACCCGGCCTCATCCAGGCCTGATCTGGGCGAGCCAACCGCCCTTGCTAGTATTTATTATCTAACATGGCAGACGACAATCCCTCTAAACGTCCTTCCTTGAAGGCTAAGGCAAAGTCCCACTACTTGCGCAGGCAGGACAAGGAACCTAAGGGCTCTAGACAGGACAAGGAACCTTCCAAGGCCTCCCAACGTGACGCCTCAAGGCGCCACAAAGCGTTGGAAAAAGAGTCTGACAGGCGTGCAGGGAGTCCCGCCCGGAGCCGTCAATACTTCCTCCTCCAACCACTTTTACACCCACTGCTGCTGGTCTGCGCCAGGACGAACCCTCTACCTCCGAGGTTCCGCCTCACATCAGGGCTTGGATGGAATCAGCCATCCGCCAGAGCATTGCAGAGGGACTACAACACATGACCAGATCAGTCTTCTCTCCATGAGCCTCCGAGCACGACTCTTTATCCATCAGATCCCTTCCACAACCGGTCCCCCCGGTTGATCAGGTACTCTCTCAGAGGGACAGCCCTCCTCCGGTTGGGGCCCAGGTGGAGGAGGAAGGGGACTTTGGGGATTTCAGGGAAGAGGAAGAGGACTCCCAGATGGGATCCTCCCGCTACAGTGAAACCCTCTTAGAGGCTGACATCATGGAGGGGGAGATGTCGGAGGACGAGGGCACTTCCCCCGACCAACCCACTTTTGGGGGGCTGTTCAAGCCGCACATGTTCAAGTCCCTCCTCCTTAAGGCCAAGTATGTCTCTGGCCTTCTTCCCCAGTCCCCTGCAAACCTTCCCCCCGTCCCAGAGGGCCCGGAGGACTCCATTTTCACCCAACCAGTGGGGGAAGCTGAGGTCATCCCTTCCCCTTCCATCTTCGTGGATCCGGTAGCGAAGCACTCCACAGGGACCCCTCCTACACCCTCTAGCCAAGACAAGAGATTCCTTAATCTCGATTCGGCACTATCTAGCCTTCTGAACATTCCGGAACTTGATGACCCCATTGTGGGTCTGGTTTTCTCCTCTACCCCTTGTGAGGCCCTAGAGGCCTTGAAACCTGATGACATGCGGGCGGAGTTGGCGCTGCGCAGGGCCCACCTATATGACGCCTGGGCCATTAAATCAGCTATGGCCGCTTCCTTTTTCACAAGGTCCTCTATCCGCTGGCTACGTCAGCTCAAGGAACACGTCCCCGCTTCCAATCTCAGAGCACACCAGGACATAGCGAAGTTAGTGGCTGCAGCCGAGTTCTCGGCTGACGCCACTTACCAGTCGGTAAAATTCTCTTCCAGGGCCATCACATCGCACGTCACGGCTCGCCGCATGCTGGCTCAAACACTGGCAGACGGACGTAAAGAATAAGGTCAAGCTGGCCACTGCTCCCACTAAGGGAGATAAACTGTTTGGCCCAGCTTGGAACCACTGTTGGTCGAGGACCGCAGTAAGAGAAAGTATCTACCCCCCTTCCCGCCCAGATACCCTAGACCCACTTCCTTCCGATCCCAGGACCGCACGGTCCCGGGCGACAGGACCAGACGCGGTGGCAGCTACAAGAGACCCTTTCGGGGATCGGGAGGAAGGCCCTACTGCAGAAGGTGGAGCCTCTTCCTCCCTCCCCATTGGCGGCCGCCTCAGCCACTTCGCTGCCCAATAGGACATATCCACATCCGATGCATGGGTTAGGGACACAATCAGGTTTGGTCTCGCCCTGGAGTTCAGGTCCGCCCCCCCCCCTGATTATTTCATCCCATCCCCCCTCCTCAAGGGATCCCTCCAAACGTGCACCAATGGATGCAGCCATCCATCATCTTCTTGACATCCAGGCCATTCAACCTGTCCCTCCGAATCAGAGAGAAAAGGGCTTTTACTCCCTTTGGGGTGCCCAAACACTCTGGGGGTTGGAGAGTCATCCTGGACTTGAAACGGCTCAACCGTCACCTTATCCAGCGTAGGTTCAATATGCACTCCTTGCAATCTATTCTTTTAGGCTCCAGGCGGGGAGACTGGTTATCTTCCATAGATCTTTTCGGAGGCATTCCTCCATATTCCAATCAGGCCCTCCCATTACAAATTCCCCAGGTTCTGTCATAATAGCCTTCACTATCAATACGTGGCCCTACCCTTTGGACTGGCCTCGGCCCCCCGGACCTTCACCAAGGTCCCGGCGGCCCTGGCGGCTCATCTCAGGAGCGTTCCCGTCCGCCTCCACTGCTACTTGGACGTTATCCTTATTCTATCCCCGTCCAAATCCCAGGCAGTCGGGGATACCAGGGTCACCCTCTCCGCCTTATGGGCACACGGGTTTCTAGTCAATTGGCAAAGAGCCAACTTACCCCTTCCACCCGAATCAACCTCTTGGGTGCCATAATTTATTCCGTTTCTCAAAGAGTTTTCCTCTCTCCGGAGAGGTTCCTTAGCATTCAAGCCCTGGTCAAACAGAGCAGGCGTTCAAGGAGGGTGGCCTTGCTGGACTTCTCTGAATTGTTGGGCAAAATGGTGTCACCCATCTCTATTATTCCCTGGGCCCGTATACACAGTAGATCCCTCCAGTGGCTCCTGCTCCCGTTCCAACGATCCGGAAGAAGCAACTCGAAGGCCAGAATCAGGGTCCCTCCAAGGGTCCTCACGTTTCTTCTCTGGTGGACCAATCCCGCCATCAACAGAGGCCACCTCTTCGCGGAACCTCAATGACTCTCCGTCACTACGGACGCAAGCCTGTCCGGTTGAGGCGCTCATCTCAACTCGCTCTCGGCACAGGGCAAATGGTCGCCGACCGAGCAGAGGTGCAGTATCAATTGGCTAGAGCTTCACGCTGTCCATCTGGCCCTGTGCAGTTTTTCCTCAGATCCGCAAACATCACGTTCTCGTTCTCACGGACAACGTCACGGCCAATGCCCATATCAACAGGCAAGGGGGCACCCAGTCCATTCAGCTAATGAGGGAAGCCGAGCGCCTTTGCCGCTGGGCAGAATCCAACCTCCCATCTCTAAAAGCCGAACACATCTCCGGAGTAGACAATACTCAGGCGGACTGGCTGAGCAGGGCCACGGTGGACCAGGCAGAATGGCGTCTCCATCCATCCCTATTCGAGGAAGCGTCCAGAATATTCGGCCTTCCGGTGGTGGACCCTTTCGCCTCTCCGTCCAACACTCAGCTTCCACGGTTCTTCTCCCGGTATCCGTCTCACCGGTCGGAGAATCACAACGCCATGCTTTGCCCATGGCCCCCAGGGCTCCTATATGCCTCCCCTCCGCTCCCGTTAGTTCCCAGAGTAATACAGAAACTCATTCAGGAGAGGGCAGACCTTCTCCTGGTGGCTCCCTATTGGCCCAGGCGACCGTGGTTTGCGGACCTCCGCTTTTTATCGGTAACGCCCCCATGGAGGATCCCCCCGGACTGGGTCTCCCTCTCTCAGGGGCCCCTTCTGCATCCGGAGCCTCAATGGCTCCAGTTAGCCGTCTGGAGGTTGAGCGGATCCGCCTGACTAGTGAGAAGCCCTCAGTCAAGTCATCGACACTATTTTGGCCGCCAGGCGACCTTCCACTACACGAATTTATGATGCCACTTGGAAGGGGTTCTGCAGGTGGTGTAGCGGGTCTCAGATTGATCCCCTCTCTCCCTCTGTGGCTCAGATCCTAGAATTCTTCAGGAAGGCCTCCGCAAGGGGCTCGCACCTAACACCCTGAGACTACAATTTTCTGCCCTCTCGACCGTGGTCTCCTGTGATAACTACGGTTCCCTTTCTCATCACCCCCGAATTAGATCTTTCCTTAGGGGCGCCACCAACCTGTGCCCTCCCACTGTTCACAGGTTCCCCACATGGGACCTCAACAAGGTCCTCGTTTCTCTTACTCGTTCCCCGTTCGAGTCTTTGAGGGATTCATCCCTTCAGTTTCTCACCTTTATGGTAGTTTTTTCTAGTAGCTATTACTTCTGCTCGTCGAGTTTCGGAATTAGCAGCTCTGTCAGTCAGGAGCGATCTATGCGTGTTCCATGCAGACCGAGTGGTCCTTCGTCCCGACCCCACCTTCCTACCAAAAGTCAACTCTCCCTTCCATAGGTCACAGGAACTGGTTCTACCAAACTTTTGCCCTAGGCCCTCCAGGAGCAGGGGGGTCCTCTGGCACTCCCTAGATGTTAGAAGGGCCTTGCGTATATATATTAAGCGCACTCAATCCATGAGAAAGTCGGAATCCCTCTTCCTATCCTTTCAACCCAGGTCACTGGGGCTTAGGGTTTCTCCTTCCACCATCAGTCGCTGCATCAGGGCCACCATTGCGAGGTGCTACCTTTCCCATTCCCTGCCCGCTCCGGGTGGAATAACCGCCCATTCCACCAGAAGTGCAGCCACCTCGGCGGCCTGGGCCACGCAAGCCCCCATCGCTGACATTTGTCGGGCAGCCACCTGGACCTCTCCGTCCCCGTTTATCAGACATTATAAAATAGATACGTACGCCTCAGCGGAGGCCTCTTTTGGCCGACGGGTCTTACAGAGGATCATCAGTGATCCGGAGGGGCCTTCGGGCCAGACGGAGTCCCACCCGTAGGACAGCCCAGCTTTGGTATGTCCCAGTCTCTGGATGCTCCGAGCGGCTCGAGGGAGAATGGGCGTTGGTTCTTACCTGATACGCCCCTTCTCGGCGAGCCGCGAGGAGCATCCAGCCCCACCCTAATTTCTCCGTCTGGTGGGGACTCTTGCTTCAGCCAAGGAGCCAATAGTAGATTAGAAAGAATTAATAACCTCTCTTCTCGTTATCGCAAAAAACTGGGGAGACGCTGCGCAATACCACGTGAGGGGCGGAGCGTTTCCTCATCTAAAGCTCAGCCTGCAAGAAGAGGACTCAGAAGCACATCCCAGTCTCTGGATGCTCCTCGCGGCTCGCCGAGAAGGGGCGTATCAGGTAAGAACCAACGCCCATTCACTTAATATCAAGTTAGGTTTACTACATTAACAATTTACAGATGCACTACATCAGATAGGAAATTTCAGAAAAGAAAATTAAAATTGACACAATTTTAGAATTTACATGTGGGATATTTGTGAATTGAGATAAAAGATCAATTACTACTGCTTTTGCTATTTTAGAGCCCAGTCAAATAATGCTTTCATTCTAATATAATCAGTGAGATTTAAGTTAGTAATGACTAATTTACCCTATTGATTTCAATGCAAATAAACCAGAGGTAACTTATGAAAACAACGTAATAATGTCTCTTCTTCAGTGGACTGCTTCTTGCAAATTAAATCTGTAAGAAAAGCAAACTGTTCTCAGCCTAAACTGGGCTCTACAGTGGGGGCAGCAGTTTCATACTTACTCAAGGACAGGAGGAATGCACATTAATGTGGCCATGAGGAAGACCTAATTCTTTATTCTCAGTTTGCCATAATGGAATCAGAACCCTGAATGTCACTGAAGATTTTGGGCTGCTGTATGTTCACTAGAAAACTAAATAAGAGGAGAGATAGCCTTTACGCATGCATGCTTTTAAATACTATGAGTCACTACTCATTGTTATCTTTTTCATTTTTCAGGGAGATAGTGGTGGACCTCTGGTATGCTATTTATCAGATTCTAAATACTACGTTGTAGGAATCACCAGCTATGGTATTGGCTGCGGCCGACCAAAATTTCCAGGAGTTTACACTAATTTGCCTAAGTACATGTTCTGGGTGAGGAGACACCTAAGCGAAGCCAACACTGTTAGCATTCAGCAGGTTCTTTTCTTGCTTGTGGTGTGGAACGTTTTCCAACTAATTGTATGAAGTGGCTTTTTGATGTGCTTTAAATACTACAATCTCATTATTTCTGAAAAAAATATTATTTAACTATAGTTTGTAATTTTAAGTTGCTCATCGATATATTAAAGCATGTATTTTCATTTGTAATAATCTCCATGAATGCTTTTTATTGTTGAAGCCTCTGTGTTTCTTTCTGCCCCATATTATATCAAACAAAATCAAAGTGGGGTTATTTTGAGTTTGTTTCTCTACTTCCCTCCAAATGAGTGAGTTGCTGCGTTCTTCTCCCTTAACAGTTCACTGCTCTCTTCCCAAGGCCAGATCTACCCTTCAGGAAAAACATCTGGAGGAAAACAATAGCAAGCCACTTCTGTACTGTTGTCAAGAGAGTTGTGGTGATAGCTAGTAACTGATCTTGGTGTAAAAGTACCTTTACGTTGTTCTTCTCTCTCAAGCATAGTCTTCAGTTAAGTAATATGCACAT